GCTGGGGTGGGTTCGGGGACGTTTAAAACCCACGCCACGCCGGTCGTTTCCGGGCGGCGCGGTTGCTTCCGTGAGGCCGCGTGCACCTGGGGGAAGCAGAGGAGGAGGAAGCGTATCGGGGCGCGCGCACCGCTGCATGGGTAACCAGTGACGACGTACGTCGCACCGCGTCACGCCACGCCGCGCCAGAAAACAAACTGTCATCGGGTCGTCATCCGATAACGCACCACCCGAGCCGCACACAATAACGTCCCCCTCCCCCCGAAACAGAAATCTTTTTATTATTATTTCTGATGAATTGGTGACGTGTACGGGGGTGCACCCAACGAACGGGGTAGCGCGCCGGAGTACGCACCGGGGTGCCACGACGCCCTCCAGGTCGATCACACACCCTCCCCGTCCACAAGACCACATCCGCGCCTGACCTGCGTCCGAAGGAAAGACAATTAAGCTATACCCACCTGCTGCAAGGTGTAAAACAAGGAGAACATTCGAATCCAGAAATCGCGATTTTGCAAATAATGCACCTTTACTCCGTGATCAACACAGCTACGCCGAGCACCTCCACTGCCTTCTTCATCAATTTTAACTTGAACACAACGTTTTGTTCAACTGAACTGGATCCACCCATTTCTCGGGTCACGCCGTCAGGCCGTGTCCGAGCGGCCCAAGGCTAGTAGTGCCATATCATCCGTAAGGCGGCTTTTGCAAGCGACTGCTCTGCATACCGTTTATCTCCGGCTGTGCCACCCCTCGCAGTAACATTCATTATTTACACGTTGCATCAGACTTGAGTTTGTTTCGAATCGATCACCGCCCCGCATAAGGAAACCCTGCGCCCCCCGCCCCGTCAAGCTTGGTAATTGGGGCGGATTGTGGTGCGGGGCGTAATGACCTGCCAACAGGCGGCTTATAGACGTGCAGGGTGTGTGGCGGGGCGTGGCGGGGCGTGGTGGGTCGTGGTAGGGCGGTGGTGATTCGTACCATGGGAGTTTGTTCGTACCATAGGGATAGTCCAAACAGTAGAAGGCTCAGCGCCTGCGGGGTTCAGGGTAGG